CTCTTCTCTCTTTCTCTTTCTATTTCTCTCCCTTCTCCGACCAACAACCACCGACCATTTTTATCTTTACCCATCACCTGCCGTCGATGGCGAGCTGAAGCACCAAAAATATTATTAGAAAAATTAAATTCTCTGCTACAAAAATAGTTCCATATAATAATTTTTCCTCGTTTTACAGAAACAAAAAAAATTATCAATAACACTCAAGCTATGTATTAGATTTAAAAAGAAAAAATGGCCAGCGGTTGTTGGTCGGAGATGAGAGAGAAAGATGAGAGAGAAAGACAAAGAGAGAGGAAGAGAAGAGGGATATGGGAAGCSACTAACGGTTAAAGGACCATTTAGAACTATTTTTTAACTTTAAGGACCAAAAATGTATATTTTGAAATTAGGAACTACATAGACAYCTATACCAAATCTCAGTGATATAGATGGCAACGGGGCAGGGCAGGGCCGAGGGGCCCATCCCCATCCCCGTCCCGTTGGGGATTTCTCCCCCATCCCCGCCCTCGTCCCCGAAATTTTGGGGGTGGGACGGGGTGGGATTCCTCAATCGGGCACGGGTTCCCCCATTAAAATATATTTTTTTTATAATTTTTATTTTTAAAAAATTTTTAATTAATTTTTTATTAAGAAGTGAAGAAAAAAATGGCTAATTGGACTATTAGCTTTGAGTTTTTTTAGTTTAAAAAGTATTTATAAAATTTTTATATATTAATATTATTATATAAAAAATAGAAAAATAAAATAAAATATTAAACGGGACGGGACCGCTCGGTCCCCGATTAGGATTTTTGGTTTGACCCTGTCCCCGGTCAAACCGATCGACCCGGGTCCCGCGGGTTTTTCTACCATCCCTACTCAGTGATAAAAAATGTTCATTTTGAAACTTCAAAGGACCAAATAGACACAAGACCAAAGATATATTTTTCCAACAAAAAAAAGATAGTTTCTTTAATTTTCCATTCTGTGTTGGATAGAATTCTGAGCATTCTGTGTTGGATAGAATTCTGATTTGTGAGATACTTTTAAAGTTAATAATGACCTTTTAAATTAGTTTATTAAACATTTTTAAAGTTTAGAATGCAACATTGAAATATTTAAGATATATTAAATATTTTTAAAGGCACCACGTCTTCTAAGATTTAATTTAACTTTCTTATATGTAATTTAACTTTCTTTCTTATTTATATGTACTTACCAATAATTTTTCTTATAGTAAAAAGAAATCCTGCCAATTGTTTTTTTAGTACATATGATTTTTTCTTATAAAATTATAAATTTCTATTTAATTTTTAACGATTTTATTTCGATTAGCTATTGTTTATTACTATTATTAACTTCTTARAATAGAATATTATTGTCATCAGATAATATTCAAATAAAATAAAATTCATATTTTTCGTGAATAATTTTTCTTTTATAAAAATGAAATACTAACCTTTTTTTTAAATTAATGTGATTTTATTATAAATTATTACAAACTTTTATTTCATTTAGCTATTATTTAACTTGATGTATTTATTATTGATTAATATTAATTAAATKGTTAAAATATCATTATTATTAAATACCATAACAAAAAAATTAATTATATTTTACATCGATAATTGTTCTTCTAATAAAAATTTTATTAGTCTTTTTAATTTATGTCATTTAATTTAATTTGTTATTATTTGTTAATATCAAATAAATTGTTAAAATAATTTTGAAAAAGGAAATATTAGTATCAAATACCATAGCAATAAAATAATTTAAAATTTATTATTGGTTATTGATATTTTAATTAATATKCCGGTAATTATCATTTGTCTAATTCATATGCCCTAATACGAGTAAATAAAAGAATATCAAAAGATATTATATTTTTATTCAAGTTGATTTAGAATAAGAACCAAACAGTTATTGATCTAATTGAGATGACTCTTCTTTTCATAGGCTTTAAAGAATATTTCCTCTTTTTCATTTCCTCCCTATCTTCCATACATTATAAGATATTACAATATTCCTCACATAATTTTGCTTGATTAGTTAATTAGTTTTTTTTGCTTAGAAAAAAAAAATAAAAAAGAAGAAGAAAGTATTGATAGATACTCGCTAAGCATCATTACAATCAAACCCCTTGAACTACATCATGTTAGGATTTAACCCAATTTGTTTCAATATATAAAATTTTGAAAACTACGATATTAACCATGAAAAAAATTGAGACCATCATCTCTGTTAAGAAAACGAAAAAAAAAATCTCTGAAAAATTTAGGTTTTATTGTAATAATCTTATAGTTTGAGTGTTCCATTGCAACAATACTTAATAATCCATGAGTGGTTTCGTGTTGTAATATTTAAAGGTTTAATCCCAAAATTTATAAGTTTTAGAGAGGCGATTGATTAAATTATAAATTCAAGTTCGTTCGTTATCGTATAACCTTTCTCTAATTCAGGAGTTTTTTCAAATTCAATTTTTTTTCCTTAAAAGAAAATTGTTTTGAAATTCAATAGTAACAGCGCATATAACTCTTTTTTTAAAGTCGAATATTTAAATCTCCACCGCAAAATGTTGTATTAAAAAAAGAAAATAAGGGTCTTAAGTTCGATCTATCCTCAAAAAATAAAAAATAAAAAATAAAAAAAAACGGTTATTTTTGGGGCTTTTCGTATACCATTTATTGGTGTGGTTGCAAGAAGCCCTCTCATTGAGTTCCCGTGCGAATCATCATTAATTCCATAAAAGGAAAAGCCACTTTTATTTATATTTATAGTGGGTAGTCAACAAATTACTTTATGTCACATTCCAATATTAATAATTCGCTACTCTAATTTAAGCTTCCCATAAATATGTTACTATTTGAAATCCCCATGGAATTTTTGTCCCATTAATTGTAACTCAAAGGCGGAGTAATCATCATTAACTTGAGCATAACTCAATTAATTAAAATAGATATCACGACTAAATGAGTTCGAATCTCTACTATAACATGTTGTTGTACTAAAAAATGATAAAATGATAATAAATGATGATATCAATAAAATCCACCAAGGTTTTATGACTCTTTTATTATAATAATTATTATTATTTTTAAAATCTAAGATTGTGCGAGTCATTTTTAAGTTATATTTGAAAATAATTACTAGTCCAGGGGTGGAATTTGACCCTCCAACTAAGAAATGTTTTGATCAATTGAAGTTATACTATAATGCATTGTAATTAGTTGAATTTTGTGTGATTTATTATTTGAATTTTTTGAGAAATTTTCTTGTTTAATGTTGATGAAGTAAATAATTTTACACCATGTTCAAGCTTTTTTTAGTACAATATGTGGGGTTGGAGGATCAAACTCACAACCTTCTTGAATGGAGATATATGTCAATTACTACTGAGTTATGTTCGTTTTGGCAAAGCATGTTCAAGTTTAAAGTTTAATTTGGATATAAAATTGAATGTTTTTAAGTACTCAAAAAAAAACTTTTTTTTGATGTTTTAAATTAAAATTTAATTAGAAATTAAGTTCAAATTTCTCTTTAAATTACGAGGACTCCCTAGTTAAGCCTAGGGAATGAGTATTAGAGAATCAATGATAAAGGTATTGGTATAACATTTCTCATGGGTGGAAGGTTCGAGTTTGAATCTCTACGTCACAGTTATAATAATATATTCTTAAAAATAGTGAATGTCTTTTTTAAGTAAAAAAAATATTAAATTAAAAAAATAACAATTTTATGATGTGATTTTTTTAGTACAGACATGTGGGGTGAGAATTTAAACTCATGAACCTCTCAATGGAGGAAAAGTGCCTGAACCAATTTCCATTTCAGAGTTTTTATGTGTTTTCACACACTCCTCGAGTTTTCGAAAACTGAATAACTTGTCTTCACAACTATGTTCAGGTTGACAATGTACCAATTATCGCTGAGTTATGCTCGTTTTGACAATGTTACGATGTGAATTAATTTTTGAGATGGTGTTTTAATTATGATATGACTTTTCCAATTGAAAATGTGGTATTAAATTTTGGAGGCGTCATTGTTGCTATTTGCTTCCTATTCAATTTATTTGGTTGGTTGTGTCATGTGTTGATAATTCTTTTCGTTTTTGTTTCTATTTTTTTGTTATTTATTTTCTAAACATTTAATTGTTTGATAACCGATTTATAGTTTTTAAAATTTGAAAAAAAAAACTATTAATTGTAAATATAATCTAAAAGGTTAAAGAAAAATAATAAAACACAATACTTGATCACCATTTTGATTTTGGTTTTTATTTCTATTTGTTTTGGTTTTGAGTTTCTATTATTTAAAAATAAAAAGTAACAACTTATTATTCTATATTTTATTAAAAATAGAAAACAAAWTTGATTTGATGAAYAAAAAATTTAAGTGCATAGAGAGAAAAATCATAAAGACGAATGAATAATACAATTAGTGTCACATGCAAGCATTAGTTGATAGAGTTAAAGGGTACATACCCATTAGACACATTCAAAAAAAAATATATACATGGACTAAATAGGTATAGCGGAAAGTTCAAATGAATGAATTTTTAATTTAACCGCTATTTTTTGGAGCTCAACTATTGCAGGTGAGAGATTGAATCACTAAGAGATGATAATATATGTCTTTATCCACTTGAGTTATGTTCGAATTTAACCTCTTATTTCTCATACTTAAATCACAATCTCATTAGAATTACGTCATGGAATTCCATACTACGTACTATTTTATTTGTAGCCGGACTAAAAAACGAGTCACATGTATCAAACAGACACTATCAATATGACTTACTATCTATGATCTTAATTTATTAAAACAAAACTTATCTTGTTTAATATCCTTAGTTTTCATTAACCCCGACATAAACATTAACTAAATGACGATTTGATTACCATCTCTAAAATTGATAGTTCAGTAGAAAATATTAATTAAATGATAAGAATGATAATGAAAAGTAATTTATAATTCAAAAAAGGAAAAGAAAAAAAAATCCCTCCATTTATGATGCCGTGAAGGTCTAATATGGGAGAGAAAATCTTTGGGCAAAAGGGGTTTTAGAGTTTTGAAGATCAATGAAGAGACAGAACAGTTTCTTATCATCGTCTTCTCAAATCGAAATTTCTTCCGATAACCTCCGCCGCTCCAAATCCTTCGGCTGCGTTTCCGGCCTCCTCCATTTCCTCTCCAACAACCAGAGCCGCCGCAACAAATCCATCACATTCGGTTCGTTTTCTCCTCCCTAGATTTTTGCACAATCTTCACCGATTCACTCGCCCTAATTTCTCGATTCTTTTCCCCCGATTTCAGTACACAACAATAATCAAGAACTTCACGATGCAATTTCCGAGACGAAATCGTCTCCAATCCGCATTGTTCCTCAAAATGCCTCATCCGATTCGC